TTCACCAAGTGCACAAGAGATACCTGTGGTCTCCACGCCTGCTCCAGCCCCTATTCACAACCAGTTTCCAGCCGAAAACCAGCCAGCCAATCAGAATGCTGCTCCTCAAGTGGTTGTTAATCCTGGAGCCAATCAGAATTTGCGGATGAATGCACAAGGTGGCCCTATTGTGGAAGAAGATGATGAGATAAATCGAGATTGGTTGGATTGGACCTATTCAGCAGCTACATTCTCCGTTTTTCTCAGTATCCTCTACTTCTACTCCTCCCTAAGCAGATTCCTCATGGTCATGGGAGCCACCGTGGTTATGTACCTGTAAGCAGACAGTTTCTCTTTCCTTTCCTCACCTCCCTTACTACAAATTATACTACACTGTGACTCAAACCAAGTAGATTTTGCTTTTTCTTGAGCAGTTGGTCATTTACCACAGGGGTTGTGTTTAAATTGTATATTATTCTGGTATCTTTAGTATAAGGAATTCATGATTTGGTTGTGTGTTCGCAAGAACACATTAATCTTATGCTAACACAAGAATATTTCCTCTTTTCCTGCAGATAAAGTACTTTCAGGCTCACGAACCACAATGATATAGCCATGCTGAAGCATAGAAAAGGAAAATTGTATTTGTTCTGAATAAGGACATATTTGTCTTTATCAGGCTATAGCTGCCTTCCAGGATAAAGTCAGCTACTGACTGTTAGTTCAATCCTGAAGGGCCAGGGGACCTTTACAGACCTGAGGTTTGACTTTTAGCAGTGGCCTAGAGCAGTAGTTCTCAAACGGGGATGATTTTGCAGCCACCTTCCCCAGGAAACATTTGACAATGTGTGGAGACATTTTTGGCTGTCACAACTAGGAGAGGAGGTCCTGCTGGCATCTGGTAGGCGGAAGCAAAGGATGCTAAATTTTCTACAATGCACAGGACAACTCCCACAGTAAATATTTTGCCCAATATGTCACTAGTGCCAAAGCTGAGAAAGCCTGGTCCAGAGTGATGGGTCTCTGTGGTTGAACCTAAAAGAAGGAATTTTTCCTTTATAGTAAAAATGAATTTATTTATTTTAGTTTTTAAAAATTAAAAAAATTGGGAAATATTTAAAATATAACATTCATATATCCACAATTAATCATCGTTAATATTTTGTCATAGGCCGGGCGTGGTGGCTCACGCCTGTAATCCTAGCTCTCTGGGAGGCTGTAGGCGAGGTTAGATTTTGGGGCTCGAGGTCAGGAGTTCGAAACCAGCCTGAGCAAGAGTGAGACCCCGTCTCTACTATAAATAGAAAGAAATTAATTGGCCAACTAATATATAGAAAAATTAGCCGAGCATGGTGGGCGCATGCTGTAGTCCCAGCTACTTGGGAGGCTGAGGCAGAGGATCGCTTGAGCCCAGGAGTTTGAGGTTGCTGTGAGCTAGGCTGATGCCACAGCACTCACTCTAGCCTGGGCCACAAAGTGAGACTCTGTCTCAAAAAAACCAAAAACAAAACAAAACAAAAATACATATTTTTGTCATATTTGCTTTAAGACTTGGATTTAATTGGATTCTCCAAATAAAACTTTTAGTTGTTTTTTCTATAGTCTCTAGAATCATATATTTAAATGACCAAATTTAGGATATTATCATTATGTTATATATTACATGTAATTACGGGTTTGGGTCTGTATATATGTTTCCCCACTCTGTTCAGGTTTTCATGTGTGAGGTTTAGTTCAGCTGAGTAAGCATGTACTGAGCGCATACTGTGTGCCAGGTGCTGTTTATGTTACTGGGTGGGTATACGGTGATGAAAAAAACAGTCCCCTGGGTTCAAGAGCCTGACAGGCCAGTGAGAAAGTCTAGGGGACAGTGTGACAGAATGTCTCTGTGGATGGTGCTGCTGTGAGCTTCTAATCCGGGTGCTGCTGTGATGATAGGAGGGGGGAGCCTTAGATTTTTGAGTCAGTCTCACTGTGACATTAGCTAAGATGGACTTTTATGTGCTTTCTTTGAAGGCATCATGTTGGGTGGTTTCCGTTTAGACAGAGGCCAGTTCAGAACTTCCCAGATGATGGTCGTCCTCCCGAAGCTGTTAATCAGGACCCCAACAATAACTTACAGGTATGGCGTCTCCGTGGAGCCTGGGGGAGCTTGATGTGATATGCCAGGCTCTCAAATCCTGAGCCTTTAGATTTCTAGCCTTATGATTCACCATTTTATTAGGCTAAATATTTCATGACTTTTTCAAATTTATTTTTTACAGTAGCAGCTATTGGTAAAATGTCAAATGTGCTATAAAATCTATCAGGTACTTTTGTGGCAATTTGCATTTTTGCATATGTAAATAATGGTTTTTGGGGGGTTTTTTTTGAGACAGAGACTCGCTTTGTTGCCCAGGTTATAGTGAGTGCCTGTGGCATCAGTCTAGCTCACAGCAACCTCAGACTCCTGGGCTTAGCGATCCTTCTGCCTCAGCCTCCCGAGTAGCTGGGACTACAGGCATGCGCCACCATGCCCAGCTAATTTTTTGCATATATATTTTTAGTTGGTCAATTAATTTCTTTCTATTTATAGTAGAGACAGGGGTCTCGCTCTTGCTCAGGCTGGTTTCGAACTCCTGACCTCGAGCAATCCGCCCACCTCGGCCTCCCAGAGTGCTGGGATTACAGGCGTGAGCCACCGCGCCCGGCCTAAATAATGTTTTTTTATAGGAACTATTTTGAGAGTTCAGTTCTATGAAGTGGTTAACTAATTACTAGTTTAATAATAGTTGCAAATATTTGCTTCATTTGCTTTGTTATTTGCTGCCTGGAGAATTCAAACTATGAAAACGTCATCAGCAGAGTTGTGCTGTAGAAGCATGAGGAAGAGCCCTGCGCAGCTTGGGGCATCATTTCCTGGGGGCCTGGCTGCCTGGCTGCTGCCTCTATGGGACAGAGGGGCCAGCTACATGGTGTTCATCACAGCCTAATTGTTGTCGCATCGTGTTTCATTACCTGCAGGAAGGCACCGATCCTGAAACGGAAGACGCCAACCACCTCCCTCCTGACAGGGACGTACTGGATGACGAGCAGACCAGCCCTTCGTTTATGAGCACAGCGTGGCTCGTCTTCAAGACTTTCTTTGCCTCTCTCCTTCCAGAAGGGCCCCCAGCCATAGCAAACTGATGGCGTTTGTGCTGTAGCTGCTATAGGCTTTGACAGGAATGGAATGGATCATCTGACTCCAACTAGATTTCCTCACCTGGACATGACAGTGACAGAGTTATTAAAAAACCAACAACGATCATATGCTTTTGTGATCAAGCAAAAGCAGAAAGACGTGAAGCCGTGATACAAATTGACGAACAAAAAATGCCTAAGGCTTCTCATGTCTTTATTCTGAAGAGCTTTAATATATACTGTATGTAGTTTAATAGGCATTGTAAGTAGAAGGCATTAGGTGTCGCATGTTTATGCTTGAAGAACTTTTCCAGATGTGTGTGTCTGCATGTGTGTTTGTATATAGAATTCATAGATGCAGAAATGGTTCTGCTGGTACGATTTGATTCCTTTTGGAATGTTTAAATTACACTAAGTGTACTACTTTATATAATCAATGAAATTGCTAGACATGTTTTAGCAGGACTTTTCTAGGAAAGACTTATGTATAATTGCTTTTTAAAATGCAGTGCTTTAAACCAGGGGGGAACTTTGCAGAGGTGAAAAAAACCTTTGCTGGGTTTTCTGTTCAATAAAGTTTTACTATGAATGACCCTGGCAGAGACTCCTGTCATCCTAGCAGTTTATTCTGTGTCCATTTTCTCTAGATGGTCAACAGTTGAGTTGATTTTTGAGTAACCTGAATGGTTCTTTTTATAAAAAGACTATTTGTAACAGTGAAGAAGGATAAAGTAAGGCCACGAAAGTGGTTTGGCGTTTGTTTGAAACAGGATCTCACTACGTTGCCCGGACTAGAGTCCAGTGGCTATTCATAAGCACGATCATAGTGCACTGTAGCCCCAAATTGGCTTAAGCAGTCCTGCCTTAGCCTCTCAAGTAGCTAGGACTATAGGTACATGCCACTGTGCCCAACTTGAAAGTTTTAGTTTACTAAGAATAAGGATATACCTATGTTTTCCCCTATTTCCTTATTTAAACAATACTGGCTTATGTAGGAACCCATCAAAGTGAAATCCCCAAAATTTAAAGTCAGTGCCATTAAGTACCTTCTACCTTGCCAATTCTGCAGTGGTTTCAGGCTCAAATGTCATGCTTTTCTAAGCTGAGCTTGCTTATGTGATAATAATCCATTCTTTATTTTGAGACTAATCTTAAAATTATGTGTTTTCATATGTATAATATTACAGTTAGGTTGCTAAAGGCCTGGTCAGTGTTCTTTTTGGCAAACTAGATCAGCCTTTTGTGTCATGGTTTTGATCATTTAACTTAATCTTTACTGGAAACATCACTTACATCAAATAAATGTCCACTGAGCAATTCACAGCGAGATGCTGGGCAGGTACAAGGTGTTTTATGCACAGTTATGCTTTCAAAGGCCCGCTAAGGTCATTAAGGAATTGGCAAAAAGTTTGAAATAACCACATGCCTCCACAACAGAGGAACTATCCGAAGCCTGTGATTATTGACAAATTGTGAGGTGATGCTTGAAGAAATGACAGGACACTGGAGTTTTTAAGAGTTTTACAGGCAAGGAAGGAGGTGTGAAATGACCCAAAGGGTCTTTGGAGCTGATAAGAAGGGTCACAGCATGAGCAAAAGCACAGCCTTGGGACTTGCCCCTCCTGCCAAACCAGCTGGGTTCCGGGTGTGCTTGGGAATGAGGTCTTGGTGGCTTATTAAAACAATCATTAAGAACTCATAAAATTGGCCGGGCAAGGTAGCTCAGGCCTGTAATCTCAACATTTTGGAAGGCCGAGGCAGAAGGATCACTTGAGGCCAGTGCAAGGTTATAGTGAGGTAGGATGGTGCCACTGTACTCCAGCCTGGGCAACAGTGAGACCCTGTCTGAGAAAAAAAAAAAAATATTCGTAAAGTGTTGGGTAGAAAAGCCCATTGCTTCTCTGAGGCAAGGCCAAGGCCATCACGATTTGGCAAGGCTGCGGTGGTGCCCATCTCCATTTCTAAAGCAGTGAGGCCACGCCCCCTGCAGTGTGGGGTTGAGAGTTAAACTCTGGATTCCATGGGCCCAAGATAAAGAGTGCTGCTCCTGAGCAGAGCTGAGCAGGGATCAGATTGGCCCAGTCCCCACTGGGGGAAACGGGGAACCTTCAGACAGCAGCTGAGGCCCAAGACAGCTGACGGGGTGGGACGTGGGGCAATTATCGGGGCTTCCACAGCAGCTACTCAGGGTGGTATGATACATGCCGCATGCACTCTGAATGCTTAGGAAGTTATTGGTTTGGGTCTTTATTAAGTAGCAAGTAAATAGCTGAAAAACAAAACCCAGATTTCAGTTTTGCTCTTTATGAGTTTGCTTTTTTTAAAGTGTATTTTCTTGAATTCTGGTTCTATAGTAGAATCACTTCAGTAAATGAGTTCTATGGTCAAGTAAATTTTGGAAATCTCAGGTTGATGAAAGTTCATAGATTTCTTCACTTACAGGCTTTCTGGGCCTTTAATATGCTCATGTGTCTGAAGCCTGGGCCTGCCTTCCTTCCGCGCAGCCACCTTGTTTTGGGGAAATGCAGTTATAAGTTATTACTTAACAGGTTTGTCATTCTAAATACCAGATACTTTGTTTAAAAGTGACATTTTACACAATAAACAATGGAGGTAAATTTTTTTTTTTTTTTGAGACTGGGTCTTGCTTTGTCACCCTCACTGGAGTGAGAGCCATCACCGTAGCTTATTGCAACTTCAATTCTTGGGCTAGCAATCCTACCGCCTCAGCCTCCCAAGGAGCTGGGACTACAGGTGCAAGCCACCATGCCCAGCTAATTCTTCTATATTTTGTAGAGACAGGGGTCTCACTCTTGCCCAGGCTGATCTCAAACTCCTGGCCTCAAGCGATCCTCCCTCCTCAGCCTCCCAAAGTGCTAGGGTTAACAGGCATGAGCCACCTCGCTGTGCTGATATCTTCCTTTTTTTTTTTTTTTTTTTGAGACAGTCTTGCTTTGTTGCCCAGGCTAGAGTGTGTGCCGTGGCGTTAGCCTAGCTCACAGCAACCTCAATCTCCTGGGCTCAAGCGATCCTTCTGTCTCAGCCTCCCGAGTAGCTGGGACCACAGGCATGCGCCACCATGCCCGGCTGATTTTTTCTATATATGTTAGTTGGCCAATTTCTATTTATAGTAGAGATGGGGTCTCGCTCTTGCTCAGGCTGGTCTCGAACTCCTGACCTCAAGCAATCCGCCCGCTAGGATTACAGGCATGAGCCACTGCGCCCGGCCAGTATATTCCTTACATAGCCAGGAGGGAGGTGAGAACACGCACCTAGCTACAGTGTGACAAGGGAGGGGCTCCAGGTCACCCGAAGAAATCTCAGGTTTTACGTGATGCCAGCAAATGCCAGATCCAAAAGCTACGACTGGGAGAGTGACAACTGAAATCTGGAGGTTTCTGTCCACAAGCACACTGCTCACGTGAGTGCAGGTGTCTCCCTCCCTCGCCACTGCGTACGCTCCTCGGGGCAGGGACCACGTCTGTCTAGTTTGCTCCTGGATGGGCGCACTGCAGATGCGCACGCTCAACGTGCCGGAGAAATGGCCGAGTCTATCGTGGGAAGGAAAAGAGGGCTCCGTTGGTTGTTTTTCCCTTCGCCCCTGCTGGCCCCTCCTTTAGTCCCGAGTTCCAGTCCCACCTGCTCTGTCACCTGCCCACCTGTGGCAGTGCCCTCTCTGGTCCCCAGGGTCCTCACTGGTGAAATGCACGTAGCATCTCTCTGCTAATCACGCATATTCATGCAATGATAGAAACAACGACATGAATGTTGTGAAAGCGCTTTGAAAACCGAGGTAAGTTAACGAGACTGGGTCACCTTCTCTTCCCCATTCCCCGATTCCTGCTCAACACTGTCCTCCAAGGCCCCACGCCCCGTCTCTACCCTAGCCCTTTGAACAGCCTTTGCCTACTTTGGGGGGGAAAACGACATGGGATCCCAAGAACAGGGAGCTAATATTGCATCTGCGTTTCTTCCCTTTGCTGTTTCCACGACCACTCTTCCACCTAGACACTGGGGCCATTTTCCCGGCTGCTGGCTGCTCCCTAGGCCTGGGGGAGGGGCTCGTGTGTGTCACAAAGGGCATTCAGTGAGAGGTGATGCGAGGGGTGGGCGTGACATAAATGCCAGAGGAGGTCTGGGCACATCCCACTTACTCATTTTGAGTCCTCTGGACTGGCGAGTACTTAGTCATTTGAAGATGACAAGAAAGCTCCCTCCGATTTCCCGGCCTCGGCCCCAGCCTCCAACTCCCCCTGTTCTTTCTCGCTCTTGGCCCAAAACCGTCCTCCCTCCCCTTGTTCCTCAGCACCCCAGCCCGCAGCCTCCTCCCCAGAGCCACCCCACCCTTTCTGTTCTCTGCCCCTCCGGGTTCCCCACTCTGACTAACGCCCCCCATCCCCACTACCCCACCCGGCGGCTCTACACGCCTGGCTCCTCGGCTGTTCCCGCCCGACTGCCACCCCTCTGCCACCCGCTGGTCCGCCTGGCCCCCCTGGCCTGCTACTCCTCCCTGCAGGCCCCCACCCCCCCTCCCAGCCCCTCATCCTAGGCCCCTGCTCTCTCGTCCCTGCCTACTGTCCAGTCACCCCCGGCCAGACCTGCCAGCTCCCAGATCTCCTCCAGGGGAGATGGTGTCCCTACTACTGGGACAGTTTGGAGCAGCCCAGCATTGCTGGGACGGCAGCCTGACCTGGTGGCCGCCGGGCAGGCAAGACACTGGCAGCCCGCGCTCAGCCTCGGTGAGTTAGAGGACCCTTGTTGGTGACTGGCCCCTGGTCACCTCACTCCCGTTCGCCCCACCTTGTCAGTCCCCTTCGCACGCCAGGGATGCCTTTGGCATTTCCCTTCTCTAGACAGCCTGGTGCTGTCCTCTCCCGCCGCGTGGGCCAGCCCGCGCGAGCCTCTGCCGGCGCGACTGGCCTCTCCGTGGGACTTGGTCTGTGACCACAGGGCAAACCGGGGGACCGGCGGCAGAGAAGAGCAGGGTGAGGAGTGGAAAGCACCCCGCCTGTTCGCAAGGAGGCAGGTGCTGGGATGTGGTAAGTGCAAGAAAGGGGGGCCCTGAGCACCCGCATACAGGGGACGAGGCCCTGCTGCAGAGAGATGGGGACTCGGGGTTGTTTTCGTTTGTATTTTTTGGTCTGTTTCCTCCCAGACTCCATTTCTTTTCATCCCAAGATTCTAGAACCATGCCAGGAACTCTCTGCCCTTGAGCCCTCCATTGTGTTCTCATCAAAGCCCAGAGGTTGGCCAGGGGCGGTGGCTCACCCCTGTAATCCTAGCATTCTGGGAGGCCAAGGCGGGCGCATTGCTTGAGGTCAGGAGTTCGAAACCAGCCTGAGCAAGAGCGAGACCCCGTCTCTACTATAAACAGAAAGAAATTAATTGGCCAACTAATATATTTCTATATATGTTAGTTGGCCAATTTCTATTTATAGTAGAGACGGGGTCTCACTCTTGCTCAGGCTGGTTTCGAACTCCTGACCTTGAGCAATCCCCCCGCCTCGGCCTCCCAGAGTGCTAGGATTACAGGCGTGAGCCACCGCGCCCAGCCTGACAAGTTGATTATAACTTCTATGAAAATGGAAAGGGACAAGAATAGCCAAGACTCCCCTAAGAGGAAATTCTCTCCTACCAGATATCAAAACTGCATACAAACGTGAGAGTGATTCAGATAGTGCAGTACTCCTGCAAGCAGAGACAGACAGACAAATAACATGACACAGAGCCCAGAAACAGAGTCACACGTGTGTGGACACTTTAAGACAAAAGTAGCAGGTCAGAACAGTGGGGACAGGACTGTCTTTTCAGTAAGTTGCTGCTGGGTCTATTGGATACCCATTTGGAAAATAAATTAGGCTGCATTCCTACTTCCCACAACACTCAAAAATCAATTTCAGGTGAAACGTAGATGTAAATCTGAAAGCGTAATAAACAAGAAATAAAAATAAAAAGAATTTTACAGATGTGATTACATTAAAGATTCTGAGATGGGGAGATTATCCTGTATAAACACAAACAGAAGAGCTAAAAAAGAAAGAGGTCCAGGCAAAGAAATCAGGGAGAGCTTCCTGGAAGAGGTGCCATTAGAGGCAGAAAAGGTGAGTTGGCAGGAGCTGAGGGACGGTTGGTGGAGCCAGGCTTTGAGAGCCAGTTGAGCTGGCAGGGCAGACCCCGGGGAAAGCCTGGTTTTCAGTCTCTTAGTCAGTGGTGCCAGGGTAAAAGTTAAACAATAAGCCCTTGTGGAGTAGGCCAGGAAGCCTGATTTGCAGCGCTTGCCAATTTCTATGATGTCAATTCTCCCAGCATGCCTGGTTTCCAGCTACCAATGTGACGTCACAGAATGCAAAGTTGGCAAGGGTGCACGGAGCCTCCCTGCTACACGGAAGCTATTTCCATTCTACGGAGACAATAGATAGTATCAACAACCTCGAGAGCATTGAGAGTAGTAAGCTGTAGTAAGATAATTCAGAAGCGATGAATTTTGAGTAGATAACTTTGTTTTTTGTTTTTATACTGCAGCACTTTTATTTTTCCTTACACAATGACGTGTTGCTGGGGCCTAATGTCTTCACATGACATTAGAAAATCAAAATCTCATCTCTTAAAGAATTGAGAATTGCATACAAAAACCTTACATAAGCTAAAAGGATGAATACATGTACAGGTATAAATGCAACCTGCTCCCGACTCAAGTAACCGCCCGTGGTGTTCCCAAAGGAAAATATCAGGAAAGACAGGAAATCTGGGTCCTCAGGCTTGGACTCCCCCAATCCCTGCTAGACCAGTGAGACAAAAAGGACTGGTTCAGGACTCTTGCCTGATTTCTTCTAGAGAAATCCTGCAAGGGTCAGCTCTGATGCAACCATACTGGGCACATACAGACTTCTCACAGGCGTGTTCTCACCTCAGCCACGAGGTGACTGAGCCACAGGTCTTAAGGGTTGAAATCAAAGACACGTGCAGGGTATTAAGCAATCAAGGGAACGGTAAGCTTGAAAGCAAGGTCAAAATCAGCAACAGGGCCGGGCGTGGTGGCTCACGCCTGTCATCCTAGCACTCCGGTAGGCCGAGGTGAGGCGGGCGGATTGCTCAAGGTCAGGAGTTCGAAACCAGCCTGAGCAAGAGTGAGACCCCCACCCCATCTCTACTATAAATAGAAAGAAATTAATTGGCCAACTAATATATATAGAAAAAATTAGCCAGGCATGGTGGCGCATGCCTGTAGTCCCAGCTACTCGGGAGGCTGAGGCAGGAGGATTGCTTGAGCCCAGGAGTCTGAGGTTGCTGTGAGCTAGGCTGATGCCACGGCACTCACTCTAGCCTGGGCAACAGAGTGAGACTCTGTCTCAAAAAAGAAAAAAAAAAAATCAGCAACAGGTTCTATAATCCAGTGCTGATACCAGATACAAGCTCCAAGGCCAATTTTCTTTTCAAAGGGCTTATTCCAGTGCGGTGAGGCTAGCAGGAGGTGTGGACATTTGCCAGAGCAGATCGATACTTCTGAATCGACTCAGAAGCGTTTGCGGTGGACAGCGGGGGGCCCGGCTCGCCAGGCTCCCGCTTGCTGACCCCCGTCTGCTGGGAGGTGGACGGCCAGGCCGGGACGGAGCCCCCGACCCGCAGCCAGCACTTGTGCGATGACCTTGATCTCCACGGTGCTGGGCGCCAGGGCGGTGAGCCCCTTCTGCCTCCTGTCAGCGATGCCTGGGGACACGCCGGCGCCCCCAGACACCCCGTGTTGGCGTGGAGACCCTTGCAGAGGTCCACGCCACACTTCACGGCGGAGCTGAATGTCCTCTCGTGGATGCCGCAGGTCCCCATAAGCGGGAAGGACACTGGAACCCCCCGTTGCTGAGCCACTCGTCGCCTGCCTGGCCGTCGGGCAGCTCGCGGCTCTTCTCCAGGGAGGAAGAGGACGCGGCAGCGGCCGCATCCTGCTGCAGGTCCAGGGCGACACAGCACAGCTTGCCCTTGATGGCATGCAGGATCTCTCGCTTGGCCGCGGTGGCGAAGCTGTCGCCGCGCTCCGTGAGGACCTTCACGAGGTCCCGCCAGCCAGGGCCAGAAGCAGGACGGCGTGGCAGAGAGTGGGCACCGTGTGGGTGACCCCGTCTCCGGAGTCCGTGGTGATGCCAGTGGAGCAACCAGAGGCGTGCAGGGACTGGACAGCCACACACGGCCGGGGTGTCGAAGGTCTCGGACGTGATCTGGGGCATCTTCCCCTGTTGGCCTTGGGGTTCGAGGGGCCTCGGTCAGCCGCACCGGGTGCTCCCCGGGGGCCGCTGTGGACAGTGTGGTGGCAGACCTCGTCCATGTCATCCTGGTTGGTGAGGACGCCATGCTCGATGGGGAACTTCAGGGTCAGGGTGCCACGCTTGCTCTGGGCCTGGTCGCCCACGTGCGAGTCCCCTGGCCCGTGCCCGCCATCACGCCCTGGTGCCGGGGCGGCCGCCCATGGAGGGGAGCACGGCTTGGGGGGCGTCATCCCCAGCAAAGCCAGCGGTGCGCATGCCGGAGCCATCGTCAGTGACGAGCGCGGGGATGTCCTTTTCCCTGGCGATCCTCGGAGGGGCGGAGCACCGGCCGGCTGGCGACGGCCAGTGAGACTGTAACTTTTTGTTTATAATGTCACTTATTCCATTGTAATTTATAGAATTTAATTTTTAAGAATAGCTGCGTTTAATAATTGGATCACAAAGTTCCCAAAAATGTAAAAATTGACTCCCACGAGCAGACCAGCTTCCTCCAGCGCTCCTTGAAACCGCCTCGGGGAACTTTCGGAGCTCCAAGGAAGCGGATTTATTTATTAGCCAGTTCTTGCTGCTGAGCACTTGGCTAATACCGAGCCAGTGTTGTCCTAAGGATTTGATACTTTGTTCATTGCGGATCTTTTGCATTAATTTTGATTATTTTGTTGTAATAAAATTTACCTTTTTCACCATTTAAGTGCACAGTTTTGTGTCATGAAATACATTAACACTGCTGTGTGACCAATCTCCAGAACTTATTTCATCTTGCAAAACTGAGACTCTGTACTCATTAAACACTAACCCCCCCCATTCCCTATTCCCCCAGCCCCTGACAACCTCCATTCTACTTTAATAGGTATTTATGAATCGATACTGACATAAATAAATGATTGAATAAATTAATAAGTGGGGAAGAAGAGACAAATATCTATGTAGAAGAATTTCGAATAAATCATATACATGCTTCACCCTAGGCAGCATAACTGTGGGCTGGCTGTCTTAGTGATTTTCTTTCAAACAGCACGGTTTAGAAGGGGGTAGGGGGAGAATTAACTTTACAGCGAAGAAATCTGACAAGTTCTACTTCAGCCAGGTGGTCACAGTCACCATGCATTATGTTGATAGTAGGTCCCCTTGATGCCATGTGATGAAATGACATTTGACCTCTGTGATCTTCCTCCCAGTAGCCCATAACCCAAATAGTCTATTCATGAAAACACATCACACAAATCCCAACAGAGGGGCATCCCACAGTACGCCTGACCCGTGGTCCCCAGAACTGTCACAATCATCCAAAACAGGAACAGTGTGAGAAACTGTCACAGCCAAGCAAGAGGAACCTAAGCAGACACGACAACTCAATGTGATGTGGTATTTTTGGGTTCCTGGAACAGGAAAAAGATGTTAGGTAAAAATCGAGGACATCTGAATAACTATGGATTTTAGTTAATAGCCATGTATCAATATTGATTCATTAATTGTAACAAATGTACCATACTAATGCAAGATTTTTTTTTTTTTTTTTTTGAGACAAGAGTCTTAGTCTGTTGCCTGGGCTAGAGTGCCATGGTGTCAGCCTAGCTCACAGCAACCTCAAACTCCTGGGCTCAAGCAACCCTCCTGCCTCAGCCTCCCAAGTAGCTGGGACTACAGGCATGCGCGACCATGCCCGGCTAGTTTTTCTATTTTTTGTGCAGACGGGGTCTCACTCTTGCTCAGACTGGTCTCGAACTCCTGAGTTCAAGCGATCCTCCTGCCTCAGCCTCTCAGAGTGCTAGGATTACAGAGTGAGCCACTACACCCTGCCTAATGCAAGATGTTAATTGTTTCACTTATACAGGGCATGGGATGTATATGTGAACTTTGCTCAGATTCTCTATAAATCTAAAACTGCTATAAAAAATTAAAATCTACTACAAATTCACATGGGGTTTACATTCTCCTCCACGACATGGTTGTAGAGGTTAGAATTAGGGAGGAGGGAGGATGTGCCAGGTTAGCCTGTGGCCCAGCACTCCCTGTCCCCTCCCTGTCCCCTCCCTGCCCCAGGAAGCCCCTTCCCCAGCTGCCATGTTCCCAAGGTCCTTGTCCTCTGACTCCATTATTCTCAGATGATGAGTGTCAAAGAACAAAGGTGTGTCCCAGTGGCTGGGATTCCTGCACTGGAGCCCGACTCCTTGAGTTTAAATCCTGGCTTTACAGCTCAGTGTGGTGGCGCACACCTGTAATCCCAGCACTTTGGGAGGCCAAAGTGGGAGGCCAAAAGCCTGGGCAACATAGTGAGACCCCCATCTGAAAATTTTTTTTAAATCCTGGCTTTACATTCCTGTGTGACCTGCAGCATGTTGCCCCTTAAAGTGGAGGTAATCAAGACACTTGAGGGGGTAGTTGTGAAGATTAAATGAGATAGGAAACGGCCAGGCCTGGTGGCTCACGCCTGTAATCCTAGCACTCTGGGAGGCCGAGGCGGGCGGATTGCTCGAGGTCAGGAGTTCAAAACCAGCCTGGGCAAGAGCGAGACCCCGTCTCTACTATAAATAGAAAGAAATTAATTGGCCAACTAATATATATATAGAAAAAAAATAGCTGGGCATGGTGGCACATGCCTGTAGTCCCAGCTACTTGGGAGGCTGAGGCAGGAGGATTGCTTGAGCCCAGGAGTTTTTGAGATTGCTTTGAGCTAGGCTTACGCCACGGCACTCTAGCCTGGGCAACAAAGCAAGACTCTGTCTCAATAAATAATAATAATAAAATAAAATAAAAAATGAGATAGGAAACAACACAAATGTCCACCGATGGCTGAAGGAGCCGACAAAGTGGGCACAGCAATACAATGGACTGTTAGCGACATAAACGAAGGAAGTGCTGGCACATGCTACAGCATGGATGAAACTTGAATGCATTATTCTAAGTGAAAGAAGCCAGGCACAAAAGAGGGCATATTATATGATTTACATAAAATGTGCAAAAAGACAAATGCATACAGATGGAAAGCAGCTTCGTGGCTGCCAGGGGGTTGGGGAGGGCAGAATGGGGAGTGACTGCCTGTTGGGTACAGGGTTTTATTTGGGGGTGATGAAAATGTCCTGGGACTAAATCAATGGCTGCACACACATTATGCATGTACTTAGTGCCACTGAATTGTACGCTTTAAAATAATAAACGTGAAATTTCACTAAATAGTAAATAAGATTCAACTACAATAAAAATGATTTGGCCGGGTGCCATGGCTCGTGCCTGTAATATTAGCACTCTGGGAGGCCGAGGCAGGAGGATCCCTTGAGCTCAAGAGTTCGAGACCAGCCTGAGCAAGGGTGAGATCCCATCTCTACTAAAATAGAAAAAATTAGCCAGTCCTAGAGCTGATGGGAACAGCCAAGGGTGGGCTAGTGGCCCACAAACAAGACCGCATTTTATCTTTTTCATATTCCCCTAGTGGCCCTGCTTGACAAGTAAGGAAACAGGAGCCCCAAGTGGTTAAGTGGCTCGGAGGTCACACACAAGGGGGGAAGTGGCAGGGCTCACGTGCAGGCCCAGTCTGAGCACAGAGCTCTGCCCCTGGGACCCAGCCACCTTCCTGGCATGTCGGGCTGCCCCGGAGCCTGGGTCCCTGTTCGTGTGTCTGAGGCCCCAGGAGTGGGGCAGACACTGTTCAGGGACCTCATCTTTATGTTAAAGACAACGTCCTTCTCCCCAGCGACCCTAAAACAGGCTCCGCAGAGGAGGACTCCGCTATATGCAGACATAAGGTACTGGTGACGGGTACTGGTACCCGTCGATGATTCGGGGCCACTAGGGGGCGCTGGTGATGCTGCTCTACCTTTTGTACGAAAATGCCCACAGCTAAGTGGGTGGGGTGGGGACCCAGGTCCAATCAGCTCCTGCTCTGTGTGACCCTGGGCTTCAGGTCACCCTTCTGTAAGAGATGATAACGCCGTCCGTGGCTAACGTCACAAGAGCTCGAAGATGGCAAAACTGCATTGAGAGGTTAAAAGAGATATTACTATTATCCTTAATAAATCAGCAATAATTTCAGTAAGACCAGACTGGCATAAAACAGATTTCATTCATGTATAACTGTTATTCATAGTGGCTTAAAATACAGGCTTTGGAGCGGAGCAGACCCAGGATCAAACCCCAGCCCTGCCGAGGCCTCTGGAAGCCACTCGAGCTGTCCACGCCATTGCCAGCTCTGTTCAGTGGCTACAGCAACAGTAACCACCTCGCGTAGTGGTGGCTTTGCGGATTAACCCAGGAAATGCCTGTGAGCTCTCGGAGCAGTGCCGGCCACACAGCACATGCCTGGTGCACGGTAGCTTCTTTTACAGTGTCATATTCTGTGTGCTCAAGCCGGGCCCCCGGCAAGAGGCTGGTGGGGGCAGAGGGCCAGAGAAACTGAGTGTGTCCCACGGACCTCCCTGCCTCTGGTCCCTGCCCTCTGGTCCTTGACCAAGCCCCTGCAGCACAGATGCTCCATGGTGCCCAGCCCTGAGACCCAAGGTCAGACTCTTTTCCCTGCGTTCAGGGCCCTCCCGGGCCTGGCTGGGGCCACCTGCCACGCTGAGCCACTGACTACCCTCCAAAGCCCTCTCCTGTGCCTGGTGGCATCTCAGGGAAGCCCTCTGCATTAGTTTCCTATTTTTTTTTTCTGTTGTAACAAATTACCACAGGTTTAGTAGCTTAAAACTACATGAGTTTATTTTTTTCCAGTTAAAAAGGCTAAAAGGCCACCATGGATCTCACTGGGCTAAGGTCAAGGTGTCAGCAGAACTGGTTCCTTCTGGAAGCTCCGGGAGAATTCAGTCCCTTGCCTTTTCCGGCTTCTAGACACCGCCCCGTGCCATGTCCCTGGCAGCGAGGTTGTGTCTCTGGCCACTCTTCCTAGTCACACCTCCCCCTCTCTCCTCTTTCTCCTGCTCTTCTCCTGCTCATCACACCGTTGTGATGACACGGGACACCGCCCCCCCCCCGCATCCCCCCTTGTCACCCCCCAGTCCCCGCCCCCTCCTGGGCCCGTGTCGCCTTCCTTACTGGGATTGTGCTCCAGCGCCCAGAGCAGCCACTTGCCCACTGCCAGCAGCCGGGAGGAGCAGGTGGGAGCCAAGTCCGTCCGAAACTCTGTGCAGAACGTGCCGGAGAACTTCAAGGGGGCGCTGAGGTGCGGCTAGACGGCTGCTGGGGTGAGCGCCCCCACCCGGATGGCACCACGCTCCCCCTGGCCCTCTCCGGGCTGGAGGGCGGAATGAGGGTCCTCAGCTCTTTGCAGGTTAAGCGGTGACCAGTCTCCACCGTTGACCTCCACGTCAACACACAGCTGAGTGGGGCACGGACACGCTTGCAGCTCTGACTCGGGCGGGACAAAGGCGACATGTGCAAACCTAAACATTTGTAGCCTGGTAATGTTCTGAAATTAAAAAAAAAAAAAACGACACAGCTGAGTATGTGTCCAGCATCCTCCGGGGAGGAAGGGAGGCTGGACTCCCGGGGGGGGGGGTGGCCTCTGCAGAGGGGAGGGGTTGTGCGGGCAGAGGGCTCTGAGGCCACCCAAAGAGGGCCGGCATGGGAAGTTTGCAGGGTCGGGGAGCCCAGAGCTGCCCAGCGCACGTGGCTACTGCACAGTAGCTGGGGCTGCCCTGATGTCGTGCTGGGGTCGCTCTGCAGCCCGAGACTCCAGCAATGCGCGGTCCAGTGCCCCGACTGCTGCCCGTCTTCCATGCGCTGCTCCTGCACGTCCACGGGGAGCGTGAGTGAGCACGCCACCTCCGCGGCCCCCTTTCCCGCACGCCCCGCCCTGTGAGTGTGCCCGCAGCGCCCCCCAACCCCACCCAGGCCAACCCCATCTAGGCCGTGCCTGTGGGCAGCCAAGCCTGGGGGAGCGATAGTTTCAGTGGGGTCCTTCCTACCCCACTGCTCTTCCCTAGCCCAGGCGAGGTTCTTTGTCTTGGCCAGACCCCTCCTTTAAGGAGCTGTAAGTGGCCCCGTTGCACAGAGGAAGAAACTGAGGCTCAGAGAGGCCCAAGTCTCACAACCAATGGCAAAGCTGGAATGCAGGAGGGACCTGGTGGGAGGGGCCTGGGGAAGAGCCCTGGGTTCAGGCATCTGTCTGTCCCTTGGAGCAGACGGACACATGTGCGTGACAGGTGTGGGCGTCACGGGAACTGGGCCCTCCTGAAGAATGCTGGGCTGGTGTCGTGGTTCATGCTCAGGCCTGCGGCTCTCCCTGAGGCTCAGTGTTCTCAGCTGTGAAATGGGGGCAGCAATTCCTCCTTCCCGAGCTGTCCGGGGACTCCGAGGCTGGCAGAGCCCTGGACAGGGCCCGGCACACAGGAGGCGCTCAGTGGACGCACGGGACTCGTCGGGGGTCACGGGAGGCTTTCTGCCGTCAAGCCCGGGTGGACCAAGGTGCCCGCTGTTCACCAGCTTCATCTCCTTCGCCCTCAAGCTGGTCGTCCTGAAGTGAGGCCAGCAGAGCGACTGCAGTCCTGGGTCACGTCCAGGAGGCTGGACACCCCCACTCCGGCCCTTCCCAGAGAAAGCGCCCCCCTCGGAAGCAGCCTTGAGGTGGACAGGACAGGGAATAGCTGCGTTAGCACACAGACGAGAAAACTGAGGGTCAGAGGGGACAAGAGTCCTCGTTCGCCAAGTCACTGGCCAACTGGTGATGGGGTCGGGCCAAGGGCACAGGCCTTGGAGCCCAGCCGGGGCTCCGAGCCAATAACCCGGGCCACTTCCTTTTTCCCCAGCCCTGGGACCCCACGTCGGCTTCATCCCTCCCATCTCTGGGGGCAGCGGCTGCCACTGTTCTGACGGTCCCCTGTCCTGGCCATGGGACCCCCGTCTTCCACCGCTTGTCAGTGGTTTCCCCACCAGCCATGCCCAAGTAACCGCCCACTCACCAGGATGCCCAAGATCCTCCTTTCAAAACAGGGGCGTCATGGTCAGTTCTTCCGTAATGGCGAAGTTCTTCTTCCCACGCCCAGGCAGGTGGCATTTTGTGACTTACGCTCTTGAAGAGGTGAGGTAGGTGCAGGGGGAGGTAGAGAGCAGGGGACCTGACCTGCAGATGGGCCACTGGGGCAGGGGTCTGGGGGCCTCTGAGACCGCCAGATTCTTTTCACCACCTCTGCTGGGATCGATTGTTTCTTACGCATGAATCCTGATATCCAAAATCATATGACGCAAGCTATGAGGGGTGCACACGGGGTTTCCACAGTTTGAGTAACATTTTCTTTCTTGGGTGGAGGGACGTGGGTTTGTTTCACAGGTCCACAAGCCTCCGTCCACAGCCATTGGGGCCACGTGGATTTCCACACTCGGACCGTGTGGATTTTGGAAAGGCCATATAATGTGTGAGTACACTGCATACATCGCAGAACACCCCGAAAAGGTCCGGGTGGCACCCCACAGTCAAACACACTGGCATTTCTCCTCCTATGAATACATAAATGAAGCAAGACAATAAATACTATTAAAATAGCCTCCCATCCAATGGCCAGGTTTTGGTGACAAACTTAAGAAAAAAACTTACAGTTTTCAGAGCTTGTTTGATCTTATCATTGTAAATAAGGGCGTGAGGATCAGTGAGGATCAGGATCATTACCCCGGATGCTCGTTTGTATAGTGTCAATATTTCCTAATACCTTCAAAACTAAAGAGAAAATCAATGTAAGTACAATACGGAAAATAGAGAAAAGTGTTAAGAAGAAAACCTTAGTCACCCATAATCCCTTGCCCAGAGACACCCCCTTTTTGTCCCCACTGTGGACACTGGGTGCATTTACTTCTGGTGCTTTATTATTTTTGAATTTGGGGATAATTTTAGATTTGAATAAAAGTTGCAAAGATAGTACAGAGAGTCCCCACACACCCTCACCCAGTTTTCCCTGATGTTAACATCTTGCATAACCTGCCACACTTGTCATGGCTAAGAGATCAACATTGGTGCACTACTGTAACCAAAGTTCAGACTTTATTTTAATTTCCCTAGTTTTTCCACTGATACCTTTTTTCTATTCCACGATCCAATCTAGGCTAGCACATTGATTCAGCATTTTTTTCTTTGTCCCAGAACTGAGCAAGTATTTAGCTTTCCAAAAATCTCTTTTAACTTTTTTTTTTTTTTGAGACAGAGTCTTGCTCTGTCACCCAGGCTAGAGTGCAGTGGTGTCATCATATCTCACCGCAACCTCAAACTCCTGGGCTAAAGGAATCCCCCTGCCTCAACCTCCCAAGTACCTGGAACTACCATGGGCCACTAAACACAGCTAATTTTTTTCTATTTTTAGTCTCACTCTTGCTCAGGCTGGTCTAGAACTCCTGACCTCAAGCAATCCTCCTGCCTCGGCCTCCCAGAGTGCTAGGATTACAAGTGTGAGCCACGGCGCCTAGCCCTCTTTAACTTGTGTATTATTTTATTTCTTTTGGACTTCTCCTGTGGATATGGATGTATTATATTTTATTTACTTATATTTTGGTATTTAAGAATCTCAAAAATTCAGCTTATTTGTTAAATAAAAAAAATTCAATGATATTTGTGAAAGCTCAGTAAGGAAGGCTTTATTCAGGACCGTTGTGACAGGTGCGGGGACCACAGCAGTGGGGTCTTGCAGTGACGGGGACAGACCGGACTCACAGTGAACACAGCACGGGCCAGTGGGGATTTACAGCCACAGAGCAGGGTGGGACCGTGGGTGGAAAATGACTAAGAGTAAACCTCAGGGGTAAGGGGAATTCCGGCTAAAGTGACCCAACCAGGATTCCTGCTGCAGTCAGGCCAAGGTGACCAGACGCCACGGGGGGGAAGGCAGAGGATGAGGAACCCAGTCAGATATCAAGGGGGATCAGATACTGAGGGTGGGGGTTCTTGCCAAACTGACTTAGTGGAGCTCTCACTAAAACTGGACTCACAAGGAAGTGCACACTGGTCCCAGGAGAAGGTTCGAGAGCCTGACTAAACAAAGCTTGGTCCAGCAAAGAGTCTTTGTCGTACTATAACAAACACCTGTTAAACACCTGCCGCCACCCCCCACCTGTTTGGAATGTCCTGTTTCATTCCAAAGAGCCTCCTCCCCCCCAGCTTTCCTAGGCGTCTGTGCTCGTTTCCCATTTGTGAAGAAGTCCCTTCTTGCTCTCAAGTCTGGCTGTGGACACATTTGTTCAGAAATCCGTGTTAACCGGGTCGCCTGTGTGTTGGAGCTCAAGGGAGCGTGTCCAGGAGGGAGCTTTGGCTGGATCTCACAGGGCAGGGACAGAGCCATAGGAAGGTGCCCTGGCCGAGGGGAACAGAACTAGGTGTGAGGAGGGCAAGACCAGCGTGGCTGGGGCAGGGGTGTTTTGGGGCGAAGGTAGCAGGTCAGGCCAACAGGCATGTACAGACCATCTCATGGAGGACTGAGGACCAGTTGAGGTGGAAGGAGAACCTCAGCAGGCTCTGGGGTGGGGGGAGGGAGGAGTGACAAGATTGGTTCCAGTGTAGGACCGAGGGAGTGGGGAGGCATCAAACTGAGCCCTGGCTAACGTGACAGGGAGCAGGGGCCCTCAAGGATCAGCGGGGCTCACCCCTTCTCTATACAGAGGGAGCGCCAGAGGCCTGGAACCAACAGGACACTTGGTCAAGGTCACACAGCACGTTCATATTAAAGCCTATAGTTTCTGCACCCCTAGCAATTCATTCATTCATTCATTCATCCATTAATTCACTTTCAACATTATCTGTTGGCTTTTACTCTGAGCCAGGCCCATACAGTTCCTGATATCACGAAGCTCATAGTCTAACGGGCAGAGATAGACTATAACTAACTAACTAGCCAAACAAAAGACTATGTAACCTCTAATTGTGCCTGGGACTGTAAAAATAAAAACTGGTGGTCAGGGAAGCAGGTGCTTATACAACTGACAGCTCAAAATCAAGAGGCTATTTGAGAACCATCTAGTGCCATGGGCCCAGTGCACAGTCTCCTGGATCCACCCCCGGAGTTTCTGGTCTGGCAGGTCTGGGGTGGGGCGTATCTAACGAGTCCCCTCCCACGTGATGCCGATGCTGCCAGCCCAGGGACCACACTCTGGAGCAGCGCCACCGCGGCGCATCGGTCTCTAGAATGTCACAAAGCAGATCAGTCCGACCTCCAGCACAGGAAGCCTCACCCCGCTGCGGATGGTTTCGTTTTGGAGGTGGAGGAAGTGAGCCATGCAGGAAAGTCCTGAACCACGTTTGCCTCAGACCACTCAGGAAGAAGCCACTGGGAATGGGGATAAAGCAGAAACCAGGAGAGGAAGTGCCCGCGTGGCTCCCCAGGCCCTAACCCCAAAGCCACAGGTGTGGGGAACTTCCCTCCGTTTTCGGAGGGCCAACAGCCAGGCCCGCCCCGCTTCCCAGCTGCGCATGTGCGATCGCTCACGTGACTGGGTACTGGCGGGGAAACATGGCTCCTTCCCTCGGGGGCTTAAGGCCTGAGGGAGATGGTCTCCCTGACTGCAGAGAGATGAGACCCCACCTAGAGAGAGGAGGAAGGGACACCAGGAAGAACGGAGGGAGGCCCAGCGGAGGAACAGAGGAAGGCACAGCCCGGCAAAGGCCTGGCAGCCGCAACGCCAAATCTCAAGAGTGCTCCGAAGGGCTCTTACCGAGGGCCGTGCACGTTAGACGTTAGACCTGGCACTGCTCCTGGGGTTTCTGTCCTCGGGGCTGTTACAGGAGGGGGCCCACCACAAGGTCACATTCTCCTCTCCTCTCTTTTTGACTTCAGAATTACGCCAAAGACCCTTTCCAATTTGACCGAGGTAGGCGCTCTTGGGTAGACTGGGAGAAATGAGCCCGGTAGGACCTTATGCCCTAAAGAAAGCAGACAGGGCGTCGCTAAAGGAAATCAGGAAACGGGCCCAAAACAGCTTAGACCAGATGTCTAAGCGTCTCTCATGACCCGCTACCTGCGTGTCTGCTGGGAAAGCCCTTGTGTTGCCGAAATGGGATTATGGTGGTAAGGATTGGCGTTGGGGGAAGAAGAGTACTAGCCACGTGGCCCCCGGGACCTTGATTTCCCCTCTGTAGAATGGGCTGACAATCCTAGCTCTCCCAAGGGCCTAGGAGGGACCCCTCGGGGGAGGCACCCTCTGAGGGGGAGGAGTAGGAGGTGGGTTGGGATGTATTTCTTCATGGATGGGTATGTGGATGAATGCTCGCCTGGGCTGTGCGGCCATCTGCCCCACGGGCCTCTGACTGGCAGAGCAGCTCCGAGTCAGTCCAGACTTCCTGTGGTCAATGATTACCACATGGGCATCCCTGAGGTCACGTCTGGTAAGTGTGGTCTGTAGGGGAGGTTGGGGGACACCGAGCCTGGCAGAGGCTCTTGCTTCACCTTGTAGGCCCCTCCCAGGCAGAGCCCCAAGAGCCTGTGACTCCCCAGACTCAGCAGTCTTGGGGCTTGGGGCCCTTCCCCCCAAGACCTCCCTCCCAGCTGCTGGCAGTGCTTGCCCAGAGTTACTTCCTTGTTTACTGCAGACTCTTATCTCTGCCACCCCACAGGATGGCTCAACCCACCTACAGGACACAGGCCTCCTATTGGCAACCGGATGTGGCCGAAAGAGTCCTGAGCTGGGAGGTCAAGACCCAGTTCTAGCCTAGCCCCAAGCCCCAGTTTCCCTTTCTTTAAAATGAGAGCGTTGAACATGAGTCCCAAATTCCCCTTGACTCTGACATTGTAGGATATTTGGAGACTCTAGTGGTGGAATAAATCTCAGACACTGTAACAGGGGTGTGCCAGGTGTATTTTAGACAAGGCTCTGCTGATGGCTTTCTGTTCCCTTCCCTGCAGAGTATGTTAAGCTGAATGTGCCTTCATTGTGAATATCTGCTTGTCCGTGTGGCTTTGGTAAAGAGGAAGGAGTGAAAACTGGAATTTTTCCTGGCTGGGCATCCTGGCCTCATTTCCCCATCTGTTAAAACCATGGGGACAGATTAACTATGTTCCTACTTGCCCTGCAGGGAGACCACTCTGCATGGTTGCAAAGAAAACTTTGAGAAGCTCCATGGGATAAGAAATGGCCTCCAGGGTGTGCCTGAGGAGAGACAGCTGCTCCCTGAGCTTCCTCCCTAGCAGGGCAGATCAGCCAACTGTAGCTTTTGTGGCCCTTCAGGGCTGGGAGGGCACAAGTTTGGAACAGACTGGAATTTCTTGGGGCAGCAGAGTGACAAGTCCTGCCACCAGGCAACCTCTGCTGTTCCCATCCCCAGAAGCACTTGCCCTCTCTTCTAAATCCAGGTGAAACAAAGGTTTATGGAATGTTGGTCCAAAGGGACCTCAGTATGTCCTGCTGACCAGGGTGCCTTGAGCCTCGGGCCTCGGGCTGGCCCTGTGCCCCAAGAAGGGCTGACTGGGGCTCCCTCCCCTGCCCAAGGGCTTGAGGTGGTGTTTACAGCCTTCATGGACAGCAAAGGCCTGGACCTCTTCAAAATCACCAACCCAGAGGTTATCACTCGTGATGTGAGTGCAAAGCCGCCCACCAGTCTGTCTCTTGGGGAGAGAAGCTCAGACAGCATTTTTGGGGTGACTTGTGGCTGTTGGGGAGACAGGCAGAGGGGCCACCATGAGCTTGCTCCTGGTGACCTGGGAGTCAGCCCAGCCTGCCCCTCTTCCCTCCTGCCCTTCCTTCTAGAGCTTCCTGCTGCTACAGATGGACTTTGTCTCCCCTGAGCACCGGCTGGTAGACTTCCCCCAGAGCTTGAGCTAGAAGTCTCCAAAGAGGCTGGGATGGAGCTTGACGCAGAAGGCACGTAGCCAGAACCCTGGCGTCTGCTTCGTCGTGCTGGGGGGCAGGGTGGGAGCAGGGAGACCCGAGACCAGCTCCCAAATCCTCCGTATCCTAAAGGCCTGTTGGGGTTAAAATACTGCACTCAAGAGCTGGAGGGTACTTCCTTCCTCTGCGGCCGGGGGTACCGGGGAGGAGAGGGGAGAAGGGACATGTCTCATCCCCCCTGCTCCTTTGCTGGACAAATCGGACAAACAGAGCCCTGACAGCTCACTCCTTTCTGCAGCTGCCCTCAAACACTCCGAGCTCCCAGTGCCTGGAGGAAGAAATCCAACACTGCTTCCCTGGCACTCAAGGTCCTCCCAGATCGGGGCCCTGAATACTGTGTTTCCCCAAAAATAAGACAGGGTCTTATATTTATTTTTCCTCAAGAAGACACCCTAGGGCTTATTTTCAGGGGGTGTGGTTTTTTTTTAAGTATGGTACAACAATCTACATTTATTCAAATATAGTGAAGTCATCTTCTTCTGGAACATCATCATAACTCTCCAAACCCCGAATTCCATCCTGAATTTCTTGCGACTCTATTTCCTTTAGAACCATTGGCCCCCATCTCTCATGTCGAGCAATAGAGCTCACATTAAATGAGCAGGGCTGGCTTATAAAAAGAGAGATATACTACACAAGAGCTGGAGGGTACTTCCTTCCTCTGCGGCCGGGGGTACCGGGGAGGAGAGGGGAGAAGGGACATGTCTCATCCCCCCTGCTCCTTGTGCTGGACAAATCGGACAAACCGAGCCCTGACAGCTCACTCCTTTCTGCAGCTGCCCTCAAATACTCCGAGCTCCCAGTGCCTGGAGGAAGAAATCCAACACTGCTTCCCTGGCACTCAAGTCCTCCCAGATCGGAGCCCTGAATACTGTGTTTCCCCAAAATAAGACAGGGTCTTATATTTATTTTTCCTCAAGAAGACACCCTAGGGCTTATTTTCAGGGGGTGTG